GGCCCTTTAACCCTTGTCTCTTCCTAGCCTCTGAGATTCCCCACGTCGTTGGCATGGCATAGATTCCTAACAAACTGAATGCTTTAGGGGGCCAGCAGCTCTGGTTTCCAATGGGGAATAAACACTGGGGACTCCTGAAATTTCCATCTGGAGGTTTTTAAGTCCCTCTAATTTTTTTTCTTATGGCAGAGAGCCTCTTCTGTGGGGTGCCTGTCACCCTCAGAGAGGAAGAGCCTGGGGGCTCCCTCCAGCTATTCTTGGTGAGATTGCCGGGCATGGGGTTCCCTCTGGGCTCACTCTCCTGTGTCAGAGGCCACTGCTATTACTGCTACTGCTGCTTTGGGTACAAATGCACTTCTTGCTGGCTTGTGGCCTGATGGGTATTTCCCATTTTTTACAGGAAACCTTTTTTCAATAAGAGAAAAAAATTCACAATGTTTTGTTTGAGTTAAAATTTACAATACATAATATATTACATTACATAAAAATCTCATTTTGTATGATTCTAGTAACTCCACATTTTTGGATAATTTAGAGATTTACCTTAGCTGAAGCTTACCACTATTTTAACTCAAGAAAATGACTTTCTCAAGATTTTGACAATGCTGAATACATGAAAAAGTATGTAAGGGGAAATATTATTCTTTCAAAAAATTTTAAATGTATTTTAAGCACTGTGAAAAAGTTTTAAACCCTCTCTATTTATATATCATGGGTGTATTTCTTATGAATCTGTCTCATCCATTCTTTAAAGCAGTTTGACCAAGCAGTCCTGCTAGGCCATAAGGAGCCCAGATTCAAGAAGTGTGAGTACCAGAAAGTAAAAACAAACAACCCCCCAAATAAGAGTCCCACTTTTTTCTTTGAACATTCCAGTTTTCTCCCACATATTATTCAGAGTTCTTGGATTCAAGCAATAGCAGTGGCTTCTTGCTGTCTTAAACAGAAAAACATTTTTTGGAAGCCTCTTAGGGACTGTATGTGTCTGAAGGATCTGTTTGGAAAAGGGAGGAATGCGAACCTCCATGGTGGGAGGAGGCTGGAGCCACAGCAGGACCCTGGGGGACTGGCCGGTCAGCATGGCCTTCCTGGGCTGTTCCGTGGGGTCTGGTTAAGTCCTGGGAGACTGGCCCACTGGCCAAGTCCAGTTCACACCCTCCCCTTCTCCCCCGGACGCTGGGATCTGAAATGGAGACTCTATTCCCTTCAGCCTCTGCAACAACAGCAAGATGGTATTTCCAACAGAGATCAGATGTTGGGCAGCCAAAACCAAGCCAACAACCCCACAGATGTCCTTTCTCCTGGTAAGATTTTGGCAAAAGAATTTTAAATCATTTTGTGAGGCACCTATTTTATTCATTAAACCACTTGACTGAGATATATCAATAATTCACGTACCATAAAATTCACCCATTTGAAGTGTACAATTTATCAAATGTTAGCATATTTGTAGGATTGTGCAACTACCACTATATTCTAATTTTAGAACAAATCATTTATATTCAAAATTGAAGATAAAGAACTCCATGTTACACATCGTTGCCTAGATTCGGAAACACCTCTGTTCTGTAAGGAGGTAGGTCTCTGACCACAGCTTCCTGCCTCTGGAGTCTCTTTACCCTTGTCAGCCCAAGTAAGGAGGACTCAGGGTCTGCACAGCGGGTGGGTTCCTAGAGACAGCGCTGACTCTGTGTGGCAGGGGGCCGCTGGCTGATCACTTTGTATCCTCTGGCCCCAAAAGTCCACATTCTGAGAGGGGTGGGCTGGAGCAGCAGAGACCCCGTAGCCTCTTTGTACCTTCCATCTTCATTTGACTTTTATTCCTTAAAGGAGCAAAAATAGAGAAATCCTTTAACTGCTTTCCAGACTGGCCTCTAGGGGGCAGGCAATCCCCCAGGGGGAGCAAAAATGGAGGCTGTTTCCCAAAGACACCCCCAAGGTTCCATCAGAAGGAACCCCTTCCTGAGATTTTTCTGTTCATGGGTCCTTCCTGGTTTGCCATAGCTCCTCCCAATTCTCAAAATCTACATGGTAGGGATAGAGGGGGTCAGAGGAGTTGTGGTTTGTATTCTTGGAAAGAAATCTCTTACATCTCCAACCCTCACCCCAACTCAGGTTTATAATATCCTGAAAGGGGCATTAACCTCTCCTGCAAGTTTTAACCTTTCTATTTCACATACCTTACCCTTCATAGTCTTTTTTGTAATTGGAGTAAAACATACATAACATAAAAAGTTACCATTTGGACCCTTTCTAAGTGCATAGCTCAGAGGCAGGAAGCACATTCACACTATTGTGCAACCATCACCACCACTGACCTCCAGAACGTTTTTTATCTTATAAAACTGAAACTCTGTACCCATTGAACAATAACTCCTCATTCCCAGCCCCCAATAACCAGCATCCTACTTTCTGTCTCTGTGAGTTCGACTACTCCAGGTACCTCATATTAGTGGAATCAGCTAATATTTGTCCTCTGTGACTGGCTTATTTCACTTAGTATAGTGTCTTCAAGGTTCCTCCGTGTTGTAGCCTGGGTCAGAATTGCATTCCTTTCTAAGGTTGAATACTATTCCATTGTACGTATTTACCACGTGTTGTGTATCCATTCGTCCATCCATGGACACCTGGGTTGCTTCCACCCTTTGGCTACTGTAAATAATGCTGCTCTGATTATAGGTGTATAAATATCTCTTTGAGTTCTTAATCCTTTTGGGTCTTCATAGTCTTTTATGCCCATGGGAGAAGGTAAATCTGCTCTCGTGTCGGGTTTCCCAAGTTTTCAGGTTATGGCTTACAAAGGAAATATTCGTTTGGCACCTTGGGGTAACTCGAGAGGTTGGGAGCCCAGACAGTCATGGAGGTGACGGGCTCAGGCTCCACTGTAGGGCTCCCAGCGTACACGGGAGACATGCGCAGGGGAGACCTTTGATCTGGACGACTATACTCCCCAGGTTACAGCCCTACGTAGCAAGTGGTGCATGGTGTACAGATGCTCTAGGGATGGGTGGGGGGGGGGGGCAAAGCGTCCTAAAGGGGCTGTCCTTATTTACAAAACAGAGTCACAGATGTAGAAAACAAACTTAAGGTTACGGCGGGGGGGGGGGGGGGGGGGGGGCAAAGTGTCCTAAAGAGGCTGTCATCTCCTCTCCATTCACACGCCCTCTTAGACAACCCAGCCCTTTGTGGCCAGAGGATGAGAGACATTGGACCTCAGAGCGCCTGCAACAGTGACATACACATTACATCAAATTCCCTCTAGAGCCAGAACAGGTCACGGCACCTAAGGCAGAAGTCAGGTGTGGGAGTTGAGCTGGAAGAGACTAGGTCAGTTTAGGGACTGAGGCTGCCACTAGGAGGCCCAAGTGTAAGGGAGCCAGGGAACCGGCCTGCACAGGAAAGGGCTGCAACCCCAGAGCTGCACAGAGGGCGGCATCCGAGGAGAGGAGACAGGACGGGGCAGGGGGACGGGAGGGGAACAGTGCCCGGAGACCTTTCCTTCGAGGCCGCCTCTGTGTCCTGCATTTCTCTTTTGTGAAAGTCAACTCTGTATGCAATAAGAACTTTCTTCCCTTGAGACGGCTGAATGGCTTCCTGTGCCTTGAAGGTGCAGGAGAGTGGGGCTCGCTGGGAGAAAAGTATAAGGTGAGGAAGGTGGAAAGTCAGATCTAGCCTAGTGGGAAAGGAACAGAGTTGCCACCAAGACGGCACCAAATGCTTCTTTTTTAAATCGTTTATTAATCTGTTTGGTTAAACAGGTAATGGAAACTGAGAATAATAATTTGCTTAAAAAGTTCAGGTCACGAATGCCCTTTCCCCTAGGAAACGAAAGACTCCATGGTTACAGAGCACACCACTGGGTTATGACACCGTTTCAAAATAAGGTTTCCAATTCGTTATGTAACAATGTAAACTTCAAAAACAGTAAACTCAAACCCCCTTGTCCCTCTTTACAGATCTATCACAGATAGAATTTTCTGGCAGACCTAAATTGTGGAAGTAAACAGTCTGGTGCTTAAAAGTTTCATAAAAAGGTTTGTAGATTCAGTAAATCTTGCGGTCTTGATCAGGAAGTAAAAGCAACCAGCGATTCATCTTCTGCGGAGTCTACCTTATATGCACACCATGACCCGTGTTCTACTACACTGGTCATCAGCTTTGCCACTTTTGTAAACACACACACACACACACACACACACACACACACACACACAATGTATAGTCTTTTATTTGTTTCTAAAGATTTCTACATCTAAATGATAAGACGGCACCAGTGACCTATAATGTCACCTCGCTTCACATAGGTAAAGACAAAAATTCTGTAGAAGGCACTGTAATTTCTCTTCCATGATCTTACACAGACACGTGAGAGCAAGCCAGCTGGGGCTGGGACTTAACCTTCCCTTTCTGTTACCTGGCTTGGGCCTGTCCTCCTCCAATCGCCACCCCCAGTTAGCCACAGTCAATGGTTTTCCATGTCCATTATCCTTTTCTGCTCCGGCTTTTCACATCACATCAACCCATCCACCCAACAATCCGTTTATCCAAATTAACTCAGTGATCTTTTGGTTCATTGAAATCCCTTAAAATTAAGAGTACAGCTCTGGTATAAAACAAAGTATGACCTACCATAGCTGAAAAATAATCACAGTGTGCAATGTAATTTTCAGTTGGGAAGAGTCAAAACATCTGCCCTGCCTTGTCAAGAACATCTGTCATCCCAAACAATCTAGGCAAGGATCATTTTATGCTGCTTTACATTCATTTAAAAAGAGCGGAGAGGTTCTTTTCTCTCCCGTATTTAATTGGTACCCTTAAGTGAAAGGTCTGATGTGAAAAAAAGTGCAAGCAAATTGGACATGCCAATAAATACCATATAACTTACCGCAGATTACCAAAACTGTACAGGTATGTACACCTCACCAAACCGAGGTTCCCCCTGTGGGGAAGAGATTCCAAATCACCCACGCGAGCGTCACACAGAGTTCTCGGGCAGACCATCAGCGGGCGAAGGAGGGCCGGGCCCTTCCGCCCTTGTTCTGAGGTCCCGAGCCCAGGTCCGCGCAGCCCTCCGCCGCCTCCTCCTTTTTCCTCACTTTCAGGCGGGTGAGCAGCTTCATCAACCAGACGTCCCACTCCTCGGGCAGAAGCAGGAGGAGGAAGCCCAGGACGATAATGACCATGGCGATGACCCGGACCCCGTTGAAGACGATCTTACTGGTGTAGCGATCAACAACTGCAGGGGATGGAGAGCGTGGGTTACCGGGGGGGGGGGGGGGGGGCGGGTAGCAAGCTGAAAACAGGTGATGAGCTGTTCTCCCTTGACCAGGCGGGCAGGGGCTGCCTCCCAGAAATCCCCCGTTAACTTTACAAACTCTGTCTGCTGCCAGGCCTTGCTCTGTGTTTCACTTTCCCCAGCTGACCTGGTACCTTAGTTCCCACATTGATTTGTGCGAGAGACAAAACGAAACACCAGGGGCAGTTGGAGATGTGCGTGTGTATTAATACATACATCCACCAAAGTTAATCGCGGCCACCTCCGGGCTGGCAGGATAATAAAAACGTTACTGCTTTTTTTAATATTCTTGGCACTTTTCACATTTTCTACAGTGACATACTTTATTTTTTATAATTTAAGAGCATTATATTTATAATATATGTTCTGAAGACCAAACTTGACCTGGTTCTTTGAAGATAATAAATACAGACTTTTGTTCCACCCCAGGATATTATTAGTGTGAGGCTCTAATGCCACCTGGGTCACCACGGATTATGAAAGTTTATTAAAGGCCCAAGAAGCTCATTCCTTACCCACATCAGGTGAGGGAACAAAAAGAACAGGATTCATGTCAGTTCGTACAAATCTAGATCATCATTCTCTTCATAACTAAAGATCAAAAGCGTTTCAAATGTTGGTTTTCTTTTCTTTTTTTGCTTTCTTGTTCTCTTTTCCTAACTAAATCAAACAAAGAAAATTTGGGGCCTGCCTCTGCACAAGGGAGAATTAGATTGCTTTTTTTTAACGCATTTTGTGAAAGAGGGTTTTCTGACTTGCATGTGCAGCTTCTGAAGCCTGACGTGCTGGACCGCTGTTCCCCCCGGAGCTCGCCCGCCGCATGAGAGGGCAGCTCTGTCATCCCCGCCATGTCCCGCCACATCCTCCTGCCCCGCCCCCTACCCTTGCACCTGACTCTCACCTCCGTCTGGAGGGTGGGTAGAGAGGGAAAAGTTAAACCTGAAAAAAGCACTTTGTGGGCTTCCCTGGTGGTGCAGTGGTTGAGAGTCCGCCTGCCGATGCAGGGGACACGGGTTCGTGACCCGGTCCGGGAAGATCCCACATGCCGCGGAGCGGCTGGGCCCGTGAGCCATGGAGCTGAGCCTGCGCGTCCAGAGCCTGTGCTCCGCAACGGGAGAGGCCACAGCAGTGAGAGGCCCGCGTACCACAAAAAAAAAAAAAAAAA